AAAAAAAAAAAAATCTATATATAGATACCATATTTCTAGTCTTTTGCTCTAACTGATATAGCAGAAATACAACTTCCAATGTGTTATGTGTTAACTGTGCAGGGTTTATGGTCCCATAACATCGAGACATGAAGTTTTGAACCAAAAGAAGTTAGGAGAATTTTATTGGAAATAAATAATGAAGAGAAACTCCTGGAATTCCACTGAGGCCTTTTGTCAGGGGTTATTATCTATCCTTGTCTGTCTATTTATCAATATTTTTGAGACAGAGTCTCTGTAGCTCAAGCTGGTCCTGAAATGACCATGTATCCTAGGCTGGCCTTGAACTCACAGCAGTCTCCTGCCTCAGCCTCCCAAGTGCTGAGATTACAGGCATGTGTTTTCACATCCGGCTGTTAGGGGTAAACTGACATAGCAAACTCACATGTTGGTCAGAATATAATCACCATGTTCATGGGTGAGTGCTGCGGGGATGAGCAGCTAACTGGGATTGTGAACTCGGCACCAATAATTTATTTTTATTTTTATGTATTTAGTACAGGGTCTATAGGGTCTCACTACACAAATGGGACTTGTAATGTTCTTTCTGTTTTTCAGCCTCCAAAAGTGCTGGGGTTATAGGTATGTGCCACCACATCCAGTCTCAGTCTCCATCTCAGCATGACCTGGGGGCAGGCTGGGGATCAAACCCCTGGCCTCTGTGTCTGTCTAAAGGTGCTTTAATCTGCTGAGCTATCTGACCAGCCCTCCCAATAATTTAAAGGGTCAGAGTTTAAGAAAAGAAGGTGCTTTATTTGTGAGGTGCAAAATAGAGGAGAAAGCTACCCTGGAGTAGAGACAGGGAGCTCTGGAAAGATGGATACCTGTGGGCCATTGTCCCCTGTTTGTTTTGAGGGAACCTTCTTCCCTGGAAATTGTCACAATTTAATTGGCTCCCTGGGCTGTCATTGTGAGGTTAATCAGAGGACTGTACTTAGTGTGCATTCTTTCTTAAAAAAAAAATTAAAAATATAGCAACAAAAACTGTAAGTTGGGCCAGGGATATAGCCATTGGCATGGGGCCTGCCTGCAAAGGGCAAGGTCATGAGTTTGATTCCCAGTACCAAAAAAAAAAAAAAGTAATTCATCATGTCAACACACTGAAAAATAAACTATTTAGTTGTCTCAGTTACTCTTCTCTCCTTGCTGGGACAAATGCCTGGCACTCAAAATGAAGGCAGGAAAAGTTTATTAAGCTCACAGTTACTGGGGGTTTCAGTCGATACTCAGCTGGCTCCAAACCAGCGTGGCACATGGCAGAGAGCAACGTTTCATGGCGATGGCAAAGAGCAGAGAGCAAGAGGGCAGGAGCAGTGGCAGCAATGGCAGCAGCGAGCAAGTCTGTCTCCCTTACGTTGCATTCAGGCTCTCTGCCCCAAGCTGGAAGGCAGCTGTGCTCACCACTGTACCACCAATGCACTCTGCCTCAAGCTGGGTACAGCACTCACACCTCTAATCCCAGGGGATCATGAGGTAATCACAAACTGTAGAAATCTGCCTCATGACGGCATGAGGCTTCGGGGGGACAGCTGGACACAAACCATAATATTGGTCATTTCATGAAAAGTAAAAAATGCATTTGTCCACATTGAATTTTTGCATTCCTTTTGTTTTCATACAGGGTCTCACTATGTGGTTAAGGCTGGCCTTGAATACACTGTGTAACCCTGGCTGGCCTCAAAATCAGAGTGATCTTCCTGCTTCAGACTCCTGAGTGCTGGGATGACAGGAGTGTGCCACCATGCCCTGCCTAGCATATGTGTGCAGTCCCTTCGGTGGCCTTCGTTTCATTTCTTTTTTTTTGTGGAAACAGGGATTGGACTCAGGCCCTTGCGCTTGCCAGGGAAGCACTTATTCTACTGAGCCATCTCCTCAGCTGCTTCATTTCTTCTTGCCCATTTGTCCTTGTCAGGGCCCTGTCTCTGGGACGAGCAGCTGGTTGTTCAGGAGGAGCCTTATAGAAGGTCAGTGTAGAGTTAGGAAGGGTATGTACATATCTACTGTAATAACAGTGACCCTGGAGTGAATGCATCTATGCATAGGTGTGAATATGTATTTTGTATACTAAATAATAATTTTCAGTTAGGTCACCCCTGCCCCTTGTCTTCCTGGTATTGTATCAGAAGTGGGGAGGGATGGCTGTCTGGTTTCATTGGTGTTCTGCCTATCAGCTCTCCCTCTGGCCCTTTGATGTAAGTTTGAAAAAAAAATGCTGCATATATACAAGTGCACACACACATACAGAAACAAATTTAGGCTTTAAGTTAGCAGGTTAGTGAATGTTTGGAGAGCATCCTATTGTTGGATGTTACACAGCAAGCCGTGTAGAAGAAAACATATGACTCAGGTTTTATAAATATATATACATACTGGGATTTTAATGATGCGAATCTAAACATTATTAGCCCAGGAAGCCAGTGGTTTCCAAATGAAGGTGGGTTTGCAGGAGATGGAGTGGCTTTAGAAAAGAAGGCTTGAAAGATAAATGGAAATTTCAGTGAACTCAGACAATGAGCCCAAATAGGCTTTTAGTGATTTTTGATATAAGTAGGGTTTTGTTTTTGCTTTTGTTTTTTTTTTGAGACAGTCTCAAACTCACAAGCCTCCTATGAGCCTTGGGACACTGGGATTACAGGTGTGCACCACCAGACCTGGCAGATATAAGGAGTTGGACCACCACCTACAGAAAGAGCCTTGACTTCCCTGAGTCAAAGGACTCCGGAAGTAAAAGAGAAGCCTTGTGAAGCTCAAACGTGGCGTTGCAGGTTCAGCCCCCAGCGAGGCCTCTGGCAGGTGGCATGTGCTCACTAGACCTTAGTCCCTAGGGGTGATGAAAAACCTCGTGGGT